AAAAGTTTATGAACTGTTTGTGTTCTTATTCCTGTCTTTTCCTCCCCTCTCTCCCTCCTTCCCTTATTCTTCCCATCACAAATACTTTTTTTTTAAATTGTCATCTCACTTTGTTGCCCAGGCTGGAATGCAGTAGCACAATCACAGCTCACCACAGCCTTAACCTCCTGGAGTCAGGCTATTCTCCTGCCTCAGCCTCCTAAGTCGCTGCAACTATAGACTCATGCCACCATGCCTGGCTATTTTATTTTTTAATTTTTTTGTTGAAATGAGGTCTTGCCTAGGCTGGTCTCAAACTACTAGACTCAAGCAGTCCTGCCTCCTCCCAAGCACTATTCTCAGCAAAACCTGGAATAAACACAGATATGATCCTTGACCTTAAGTTCCTCACAGTTTAGAGTAAATCAGTATAGTGTGATGGGCCACCGGCAACTGATAGAAGACAGTGACTGAAAGAGCCAGTCACACAAGCTCACATTTGAAGAGGGCTTTTAACCCAAGCAGTATTCTCTAGGTACAGAGAAGGGGAAGGCTGTACACGACAGAGAGAACATGCACGCAACAGCACAGAGATGTCACCGTGTGTGGCAGGATGGGGGGTGTCCAAGTATTGCTATGTGACTAGGGCAAGAGGGACCGGGGTTCCAGAGCCATGAAGTGGGAGGGGAGACTGAAAAAGTAGATGGAAGCTCATCATGAAGGATCTTTGTGCTAACTCTAAGGAACGTGGACCTTACTTCACAGACGTGGGCAACAAGTATGCAGTTTGTAGGCTGTGGTATGATGTCTGAGGACAACCCCACCCCCACCCCCAGTTGTGTGTATGTATCTGGAGGATTGGGAGTGGGTATTACTCCCACTGTTGATCAGGGCAATGAGAATGGAGGAAAGCAGGTGGGAGTTGAGAGATAGTATTTAAGGGAGTTAAGGGATGGTATTTAGGGGAGCTGGGACTCAGCAGAACCCCGTGACTGGTTGGATGTGGGGTGTGAGCAAGAGGAAGGAGTCAACTCTTGTGATGTTCCTCTCTGGACCACGTGAGGAGGTGAAGTAATGACTCAGTCCTGGAGCATCAGAGGTGTCTTTCCTTGTACTCAGACATATCACCTGGGCAGGGATGGATGGAGCCAGAGCCTAGGAGAGAAGCCAGGACTGTGAAAACTAGTGGAAGTGTGAGTTCTTCATCTCTAGCTCCTCCCACTCACACCCCTCTGCACAGCCAATCACCAGCAACACGTCCAGGCTCCTCCTTCTGCACAGGAGCTCAGATGCACCCGCTTCTCTCCAGCCTGCTTTCCTCCCCTGACTCGGGCCACTGGGCCACCGTCATCTCTTGCAAGGATTACTACAGCAGCCTCCTCCTAGCTGGTCACCTCCCCTTCCTCTCATCTGCCCATTCCCTTCGCAACGTATCTCCCTCTTATCTCCTCCACCTACCCTCTGACAAAGTGACCTTCCTAGGTGTACATATGTGCCACGCCCCTGCTTCAAAACCCTCAGTGTTTCTCTGTGGCCCTCAAAATCGGTCCCCCTGGTGTTGCGGAACCTCACCCCTGGCGGACCCTCCAGCATCATCTCCCAGTACTCACCATGTCACACTCTGTCCCTTGTTCATCCTGAGTGACCTGTGGGGATCTGGGGGAGCCAAGGTATCCTGCATTGTCATGCCTTGGAACAGGCTGATCCTCTAGTCTGGAATTCTTTTCCACCTACCACCAAGCCTTGCACCTGGCTAGCTACTCATTTTCTTTTTGGCCTCATCTGAGATACCTGAAGAGCCTTTTCTACATGCTTTACCATTAGGCATCCCCCTGAAGAGTTGTTATTCCAGCCCTGCTTCACCCGCTGTGGCAACTCTCAACTGGGACAAGTTACCTGCTTCCTTCTCCTCCCACCCATGCTGTAGGTTCATCAAGATGGAAACCGTCTTATTTTCCGGTGTGTACACGGCTCCGGCGTGGAGCCTGGGTCAGAGTAGGCACTCAGGAAATACTCTCCAAATGAACAAATGCATGAGTCAGTTCATAGGAACAGACGACGATCTTCCCATCTTGTCCATAGATGAGACTGGAGGCCTGGCTCAGACCCTTGTTTTCATCATGTGCTAAGGGACAGAGTCCTAAGTAGGCACATCTGAGAAGGTGTAGCATAAGAGTTCATGGAACCAAAGTCAAATACAGTCCTCGAGACAATTCAAACAACGACTGAGAGTGTTGGGGGCCCAGGAGGGACGGCAAAGAATGAGAACTCTGTGAGGGCCTGTGGAGTCTGGCTTGGTGATGCAGACTTAGCTGTAGAGTGTTGCAAGGGCTGAGGCGGCAGGAAAATGGGAAGATGCCATGGTGTGGGTAGCTTTGGAAGGTCAATGGCGTGGGAAGGAGAGGCAGGCGTGTAGCTCAAGGGGAGGAAGGCTGAGAGCATTGATGGAGAGCCCCCACCGGAAGCTTGACGCTCATCTCCTCTGGGCATGTTAAGACAGCACTCCCCTCCCTCACCCCCCATTTGCCATGCCCTTTCTTCAGAGGTGGCCATATCCCTCTACCCTCCCACTAAGCAAATGTGGACCCCCCGCAGGTCCCATCCTGTGCTCAGCTCCTGCAGGCTTGGGATAGAATGGGCCTGTCAGGATTCCCCCCATGGCTCCCTCGGTGCTGCCGCTCTTTTAATTTTGCCAGAGTTGTGGACCAGATAGGCTTGTCCTCTACTCTTGACCAAGTCTAGAGTTTTAGATTTCCAGATCAGGTCAGTGGACACGATTCTATGAGAGAGTTGTTCCTGGCTCTTGGAGTCTGGCTTGGAATTATTAGAAGGTATTTCAGATTGCCAGCTGCATATTTTTTATGGCAGAATTCTATGTGGGCAGTCGATTTAAATTTCTCATGCTGAAGTAGGAAACTGTACCCTGCCTTGATTTTATAGACTCTGACAACTGTCATCATCTTGTCTCAGGCAGCATAAGTGTGTGTGGGGGGGGGG